CTGATTTGCACTTGGTTCTAAAATCTCCAGCTCTTATAGTTTACAAGCAGCTTTTCTATGTTGTTTGACTCGTTTGCTGCAATCAGCTGTCAACAGTACAATTAAGTAACCTTTGACATTTCCAATGCAATAAAAGATTGTGATAACACCTTGAGGGGTAAATGTTGGGAGATGTATTTCACACTTTAAACACTTCCCCTGTAGACATCACCATATGTTCAGCCCTGCAGACAGGTGACAGCTGTTACTCTATCACAATGTTAACAAGACCTGTCCTTTATTATCCTAAAACATGGTCATTAGTGGCCCAGGCTGGAGGTGATATTCAGCTAACATTTGTAATGCCATGCATCACTTATGTCTCTGCCACAGTTTGTATAAAACTCCCAGCCCCCAAAGGCTGCCTCTCCTTCCACCTGCAAATGTCAATTACCATATTTCCCCCTGACATTTATCAGTAATGGCTAACATGAGCTACGTGAAATCAGAGTCATTATCTTGGAGGTAGAGAGGAGAGGTGCTGATGGCTCTGTAACCCCATGCAGATACACAACAAGGCTGATTTATTGATCAGAGGCGGTTAAAGCTCGAGAACATCTCAATAAATGCCTAACCACAACGTGATCAAAACAAATAAAGTCCCTGATTACGTGTGTGCCGCGGGGCGCTCTACGATAAATTACTTTTTCAAATTCAACCCTTAATAACAGATGCAAAAATGATTTAAGGAACAGGTTTTGATTTCAATGTGAGCATGAACTCTGCAGGCATATTTCATCTTGACTTAAATATTTTACTGACACCTTTGCAGCTCTGTTACTAAAATGGTTTCTCCAAACGAATTTCATCAATTAACAACAGTGACAATAACATAAATGCACAGCTCTGCTTTATTTTTCTCAAGGATAAATATTATTTTTATGAAATCCCATCCATACATCATTTAACTCTTCTGTTCCGGTCCATTGTGGTGAAAAGAGCTGAGTTGCAAGGAGAAGCTCCCGTTCGTCCATCCCACAGTTGTTTAATAGTTTACTACTAATTCTTGAATGAATGTTACCAACATGCTTATTGGCACAGATGACAAAATATGTGTCCCCTTGTAGCTGAGCAAGCCATGAACAACCTGTTAGATCTACGTTTAGTGTCAGCACAAAGAAGAACGAAGAGCCACGACGTGACATCACGTCTCTGAAACGCTGATAGAAACTGAGAGAGCGCTGTAAAGAAAACGACCGAGTGAGTTCTGTGGAGTGAACTATGAACGTGACACAATTAAACAGTCCCACAGCACAATCGTTGTTTTATCAGCACCGTGACTCGAGCCAGAAGTATACACAGAAGTCCTGTCTGCTTGTGTTTTGTGTTTGGTCTGAAACAATGTCCTGCTGCCGCTCAGTGATCAGGTGATACATCTAACAAGGTCGAGTCACGCCCTGGAAGGATTCTTCGAGTTGAAACGTTTCATCTTTTAAATGACGAAACTGTTCAACAAAGAAAAATCAGTGCAGAGGACGTGACGTCTGTCTTGTTCATTTCATTTAGCACTTTTTATGCAAACAGAAAGAGCTCGCTGGGTCCTGCAATGGAATATATATTTTATTTGATTAGAAAACTGTGAAAACAAGCTGTACAAAAATTAACACAAAACGTGAGAGTTAACACAATCTATGTCACACAAAGGTGTTGTTTTGTGACAGGGCATTGTGAAACTGCCAGGTGACTCTACAGTTTAATTAAAAAATATCTACTTAAATACAAATTATGTTTAAAATGCTCAGACTGGTTTCCTCTTCTATAAGCAACTGCTTGCTGGAGTGCATTTATTACACATTAACGCTGTGGTAACTCAGATTATAAATGTTGTTTCCTCTCCATCACAGGGTAAAGTGTTAGTTTTTTAGTATGAAATGGTCTTTAAAAATAATATGAATTAGAAGAATTTCATTTTCTGCTAAAATACTGAGTTCACTGAAACTAATGAATTAAAATTAAATTCAAACTATTGTGAAATGAACTGTTTAATGAATGTTAAACCAGTAAAATAGAAGCTAAAGGCAGCATTTGACTACAAAAACTAAAATTAGAAAAAGTGAAGCTAAAAGCACAAGACACAATATTGAGAGGATGTGTGTGTGTGTGTGTCTCTCGTGTGTGTGTGTGTGTGTGTGCGTGTGTGTGTGTGTGTGTGTGTGTGTGTGTGTCTCGTGTGTGTGTCCTGCTCTCCTCAGTGTTTCTCCTTCATGTGATCAGCTCCTCCTCTGACACCTGTTGTCCTTCCCCAGGTGTTTGTGTTCATCCCCTCGTTATGTCCTGTCTCCCTCCTTGTCTCCTCGTCCACGTTCCCTCCGTTCATGTTGCCCCGTCAGCCTTTTGTGTTGTTGTAATACATTTATTTATTATTTACCTTTGAGTTCCCCGAGTGTCTGTCTGCACGTGGTTCACCTTAACACCAGTGGATTTCAGAGAGCAATGGTTTTGAAAGAAATAAGATCTGTGTATTTCTGTGGGATCATTCTTTTTCCATCCATCCATCCATTTTCTTCCGCTTATCCGGGGTCGGGTCGCGGGGGTAGCAGCCTAAGTAGGGAGGCCCAGACTTCCCTCTCCCCAGCCACTTGGGCCAGCTCTTCCGGGGGAATCCCGAGGCGTTCCCAGGCCAGCTGAGAAACATAGTCCCTCCAGCGTGTCCTGGGCCTTCCTCTGGGCCTCCTCCCAGTGAGACGTGTCCGGAACATCTCACCAGGGAGGCGTCCAGGAGGCATCCTGACCAGATGCCCGAGCCACCTCAACTGGCTCTTCTCGACGTGGAGAAGCATCGGCTCTACTCCGAGTCCCTCCTGGATGATCGAGCTTCTCACCCTGTCTCTAAGGGAGAGCCCAGACATCCAGCGGAGAAAACTCATTTCGGCCGCCTGTATCCGAGATCTCGTTCTTTCGGTCACAACAAAAAGCTCATGACCTGGGAGGGTGGGAACGTAGATTGATTGGTAAATTGAGAGCTTCGCCTTTTGACTCAGCTCTCTCTTCACCACGACAGACCTGTACAGCGCCCGCTTCACTGCTGACGCTGCACCTATCCGCCTATCGATCTCACGCTCCATTTTTCCCTCATTCGTGAACAAGACCCCAAGATACTTAAACTCCTCCACTTGGGGTAGGACCTCCTCCCTGACCCGGAGAGGGCACTCTACCCTTTTCCAGCTCAAGACCATGGCCTCGGATTTGGAGGAACTGATCTTCATCCCGGCCGCGTCGCACTTGGCTGCAAACCGCTCCAGTGAAAGCTATAGATCACGATCTGATGAAGCCAATAGGACCACATCATCTGCAAAAAGCAGAGACGCAATCCTAAGGCCACCAAAACAGATCCCCTCAACACCTTGGCTGCGCCTAGAAATTCTGTCCATAAAAGTTATGAACAGAATCGGTGACAAAGGGCAACCTTGGCGGAGTCCAACTCTCACCGGGAACAAGCCCGACTTACTGCCGGCGATGCGGACCAGGCTCTGACACCGGTCATACAGGGACCTAACAGCCCGTATCAAAGGGCCCGGTACCCCATACTCCCAGAGTACCCCTCACAGGGTTCCCGAGGGACGCAGTCGAATGCCTTCTCCAAGTCCACAAAGCACATGTAGACCAGTTGGGCAAACTCCCATGCACCCTCCAGGACCTTGCTGAGAGTGTAGAGCTGGTCCAGTGTTCCACGGCCAGGACGAAAACCGCACTGCTCCTCCTGAATCCGAGGTTCGACTATGTGATGGACCCTCCTCTCCAGAACCCCCGAATAGACCTTACCAGGGAGGCTTAAGAGTGTGATTCCCCTGTAGTTGGAACACACTCTACGGTCCCCCTTTTTGAATAGGGGGACCACCACCCCGGTCTGCCAATCCAGGGGAACTTCCCCCGATGTCCACACAATATTGCAGAGTCGCGTAAGCCAACACAACCCTACAACATCCAGAGACTTAAGGAACTCTGGGCGAATCTCATCCAACCCCGGGGCCCTGCCACCGAGGAGCTTTTTAACCACCTCGGTGACCTCAGCACCAGAGATTGGAGGGCCGACCCAGAGTCCCCAGGCTCCGCTTCCTCAGTGGAAGACGTGCCGGTGGGATTGAGGAGGTCTTCAAAGTATTCTGCCCACCGACCCACGACATCCCGAGTTGAGGTCAGCAGCACACCACCTCCACTATAAACAGTATTGGTGGCGTACCACTCCCCCCCCCCCCCCCCCCCCCCGAGATGCCAGATGGTGGACCAGAATCGCCTCGAAGCCGTGCGGAAGTCATTCTCCATGGCCTCTCTGAACTCCTCCCATGCCCGAGTTTTTGCCTCAGCAACCACCCGAGCCGCATGTTGCTTGGACTGCCGGTACCCATCAGCTGCTTCCGGGGTCCCACAGGCCAAAAAGGCCCGATAGGACTCCTTCTGCAGCCTGACAGCATCCCTCACCGACGGTGTCCACCATCGGGTTTGAGGGTTGCCGCCGCGACAGGCACCGACAACCTTGCGGCCGCAGCTCCGGTAAGCCGCCTCGACAATAGAGGCACGGAACATGGTCCACTCAGACTCGATGTCCCCCACCTCCCCCAGAACATGTTTGAAGTTCTCCCGGAGGTGGGAGGTAAAACTCCGTCTCACAGGAGACTCTGCCAGACGTTCCCAGCAAACCCTCACAATACGTTGGGGTCTGCCAGGTCTGACCGGCATCCTCCCCCACCATCGGAGCCAACTCACCACCAGGTAGTGATCAGTGGACAGCTCCGCCCCTCTCATTCTTTTTCAAATTGGGTTAAATAATAAATAAATAAATTTAAAAAATGCAAATACTAGAAGTCACAGCACCCTAATCCTGACCAAGTTCAAATTTATGAAAGAAGAAAATACCAGAGTATGTATAGGTAACATTTTTTGGACATATTTTGCAAACAAGCACGCAGGAACAGAAAACTAAAGGTTAAACGTGTAACGTGTGTGTGTGTGGTTTGCCTCACCACTCCGATGGAGAAGTAGTTGTTCACGATGCTGTAAGGCACCGGGTCTCCTCGCTCCTCCTTGTCGGCTGGTGTGACGTCGATCTTCCAGCGGTCCAGCATCACCTCTGAGCTGTTCTCCACGTCCCGGAGGATTTTCAGGAGACTTTCACCCTCGTAGCCTCAGAGCAACACGAGAGAGTCAGATGTTAAATTCTGCTGCAAACACTTCGCTCATGAACGGGAATCCATCTTGAAGTAATGCTAATGTGTCAGTTTTTATAATGTCTGAACAACTTTTACTTCTTTTATCAACTAATACAACGCTTTAATCTCTTCTATAAAGAAATGCAACATTTATGGCCAAGTTGTTTCATGTTTGTGCGATTTACCTCCTCCCCATCGTAGACATCGAGCCAAGTCGTTCCCCGTCCCAAGAGGAAGTATACACACGGGGGGGTTCCTGTCCAGGTTGGCTTTATCTGGAGCAGCGGGGAAACATGACAAGAAGTGAAACGAAGCCAAACCCAAGTAGAACTCTGTGTTTCAGCCTCGTCTGTGAAGTCCACACGAACGTTCAGTTTAGTTTATTTAAAATAAAAACACGTGCACGACGGTTATTACCTGCCTTTGTTGTGATTGACACAAAAGTGAAGCAGTTTTCAACGGAGGAGACTCCGTGATGTTTTTTCTAAATGATTACTAAAATGTTCTGTTCCAACTCATATGATGTTCCTGTCTGACCCCTCTGACTGCAAACACCAGGGTTTGAAAAGAGTGTTTGTATAAAAGTGATAAATCTCCACTGAGCAACAAGACAGAAGCTGTGAAAACCAAGAAAAACATCAAATCTTTGGATAAAACTTTACACATTATCCTAAAACATTTAATATGACACAGTTAGCACTCCAGAATATGGAGTTCCTGCCAAACATGGACTCCAAGGCAACAAAACAAAGACGTGCTGTTGGTACCAATAAAGTCCAGGATCCAGCCCACGGTGCCGTCCCCTCCGCAGGCCAACACTCTGTAATCTGGAACATCTCGGAAGAAGTTCAACCTGCAACAAACACAGTGAGCTTTCCTGTTAATGCACTGTATATCATTTATATTTATTAATGCACAGTATATCATTTATATTTATTAATGCACTGTAAACCATTTATATTTATTAATGCACTGTATATAATTTATATTTATTAATGCACTGTATATAATTTATATTTATTAATGCACTGTAAACCATTTATATTTATTAATGCACTGTATATAATTTATATTTATTAATGCACTGTATATAATTTATATTTATTAATGCACTGTATATCATTTATATTTATTAATGCACAGTATATCATTTATATTTATTAATGCACTGTAAACCATTTATATTTATTAATGCACTGTAAACCATTTATATTTATTAATGCACTGTATATCATTTATATTTATTAATGCACTGTATATAATTTATATTTATTAATGCACTGTATATCATTTATATTTATTAATGCACTGTATATAATTTATAATTATTAATGCACAGTATATCATTTATATTTATTAATGCACTGTAAACCATTTATATTTATTAATGCACTGTATATCATTTATATTTATTAATGCACTGTATATCATTTATATTTATTAATGCACTGTATATCAGTTATATTTATTAATGCACTGTATATCAGTTATATTTATTAATGCACTGTATACCATTTATATTTATTAATGCACTGTATACCATTTATATTTATTAATGCACTGTATATCATTTATAATTATTTAATGCACTGTATACAGACCCGGCGGCATGGGCGGGCATTGAGGGACATTGCCCCCCCACAGAGTCAGCTGTGCCCCCCCTGACTGGACACGGGAAGTTTTTTTTTTGTTTGTTTTTAATCTATCTCTGAGTGTACATCTTTCTATTTTTCCTATCTCTGTTTGTCAGTCAAACAATTCAACCAATCAATGAAGCCAAGGCAACATTCTAGCCAACTACAGTTCGAGGGGGGCGGGTCACTGACTTAAGGCGCAAACTAGCTGTTTTCAAACAGAAACAGTCACGCTCACCATTGTCCGTGTATCATGGATATTCGGACTTTTTTCCAAAAAAACAAGAGGACAACGAATGACACTGACAGTGGAAAAAATGAGAGCGGACAGGAAGCGGCACCATCCATTTCAGTTGGAAACGTAAGCACTGAAGTCAACTCTGGAGTAAACATTCATGCTAGGAGGGTTAGCTACAGCAGCTAGGGAGCACAAGGAGCAGAACCGAGCAGTGCTCAGCCAGTTGGAAGAAACGTGAGTGACGACGTCAATAACAACAACAGTGAAGTCTGTGGTAACATTACAGCTGAGAGGAGGAATGTCAACAGGCCATTCCAGCCTAGTGACCTTGGCACAGAAAACCCAGAAAGACCACTTCTGAAGGGTTTTCCTTCACACATGTTCTCTGGGATAAAAAGGTCATTCGTTCCACCTTCTTGGATGTCAGCAAGGTGAAGCCCTTACTTGACCTCACCAAGACACCTGCTGTGGACTCTGAATTTGAGGTGGCCCGCAACTTCCTAGTGACACAAATGAAAGAGTCTTCTCCACCAGATGGGGAGAAGTGGACAATGAAACGGGTGATTAAGACTATAGGCAAAAGCTCAGTATTGTTTTTATTGTATTCAAAAAATCTTGAAGCTACGATGCTCCTAATGGTTAGCCTATATTGTCATGGCATAGTCATGTCGGGCCTTTAAAGTAAACTGGTATTTTTCAGCATCAGGCCTTCATAAAACTGTCATAAAAATCACACATCAAACCTAACATGATTTGGTTAATTGAGATGAGAATTTATTGTTAAACATAATGTTTCATACAATTTATATTGTTATTTGGGGAATCATTCTAATTGTAATTATATTGATTTTACGGTAATCTTAATTCTTAATCCTTACAGGTTTTGAAGCAGTTCCAGAAGCCATTGGAAGCAATGCCTACTGTCTTTGCAGCCTTTAAACATGGCCTGACGTTTGGAGCCAGCACCGCATCATGTGAAAATTCGTTTTCCACTCTTAAAAATGTCTTCACAGAGCATCGCCAAACTATGCTTCATCAACGCAAGGCAAATCTGATCCAGTTGGCATTTGAGAAGGACTTGACTCGGAAATTTAGGAATGAATGGAAGGACAGTGTTTTGAGAAGGTTTCACACACTATACAAACGCCGCCTGCCACTCTACTAAAGGTGGAGTAAACCCCTTTCTAGTTTCCCCCACCCCGCCTCCCTCACACATAAAATGGTGTTTCTTGCAGGCAGAAGAGTAAAACTTCTTTGTTTTGCTCCTTGTGCTCCCCAGTTGTTGTAGTTAAACCTCCTAGCATGAATGTTTACTTCAGTCACAGTGTTCAGCCTGAAACTTGTGCTTATATTTATCACTGTATGTTTATGCTTATGTTTGACTTTTAATTGAATGAACACAGCTCTACAGGTTGGGTTGTCTTGTTCTTTCTTTTTTCTATTTTTGCTTAGATTTTGTGATTTTATTGAGATTGTTTCTTCACAGCACTGTATTAGGGGTGGTCACAGAGCCGCTGTTCAACTTGAAGCAAATAAAATGTTTGTTGAAAAAAATATGCCCCCTTGAAAAAATAGAATGCCCCCCCTTTGAATAGTTTCTGCAGCCGGGTCTGACTGTATATCATATATAAGTATTTAATGCACTGTATATAATTTATATTTATTAATGCACTGTATATCATTTATATTTATTAATACACTGTATATCATTTATAATTCTTTAATGCATCAAAGTTGTGTTGGCCAGATTCTTAAATCTTTTCATATTATTTGTATATAATGATTCAAAGTCTTCCTGTTCTTTTACATTTTGAGGAAGATACATGTATTTGGTGACTTCAAACCAGAGCAGCACGGTGCTTCAGTTGGTAGAGCTGCTGCATCTCAGCAAGAAAGTCGCCAGTTCAAATCCCAGTCTGGGACCTTTCTGGGTGGAGTTTGTATGTTCTCTCCGTGCATGTGTGTGTTTTCTCCAGGTACTCCAGTTTCCTCCCACAGACCAAAAACATGCATGTTAGACTGACTGTAACTCTAAATTGCCCCAAGGTGAGAGAGAGAATGAATGGTTGTTTGTCTCGTTTGTCTCTATGTGTCTCTGTGATGGACTCGACATTTGTCCAGGTGTCCCCCACCACTCGCACAGTGATTGGTGGACGTGGGAACCAGTGACCCCCGCGACTCGAAAAGGAAGAAACGGGTAAAGATGATGGATGGATGGATGGATGGATGGATGGATGGATGGATGGATGGATGGATGGATGGATGGATGGATAGATTTTCAAATGATTTTTCACAGACTGGTGAACCTCTGCCCATCTTTACTTCTAATAGATTCAGCCTTTTAAACATGTCTTCTTCCTGACCTTTAGCTGATTTGTCTCAGTAGTAGCTAAATGCTCCCGATTCGTCTCAGTAGTAGCTAAATGCTCCCGATTCTTCTCAGTAGTAGCTAAATGCTCTTGATTTGTCTCAGTAGTAGCTAAATGCTCCCGATTCGTCTCAGTAGTAGCTAAATGCTCCTGATTTGTCTCAGTAGTAGCTAAATGCTCCCGATTCGTCTCAGTACTAGCTAAATGCTCCTGATTTGTCTCAGTAGTAGCTAAATGCTCTTGATTCGTCTCAGTAGTAGCTAAATGCTCCTGCTTTGTCTCAGTAGTAGCTAAATGCTCCTGATTCGTCTCAGTAGTAGCTAAATGCTCCTGCACCTTTTTCTCTGACAGACTTTTACAGTCGTTGTTGCTCCATGCAGACACATTCGTTTTAGATGTGTTGCTGCCATAAAAGTCAAATATTATCGTATATTTTTTTACAATGCAGAATTTCTTAGATAAAAAATTTAATGTTTCTCACATTTTATTGTGAATACATTTTTTTTTTTTGAGGTTTGCTAATCTTTGGGTTTAGTTTGGCAGCACAACGGCTCAGTGGTTAACACTGTTGCCTCACAGCAAGAAGGTCCTGGGTTCAATCCCCGGTTGGACCTGGGGTCTTTCTGTGTGGAGTTTGCATGTTCTTGTCGTGCATGCCAGTTTCCTCCCACAGACTAAAAACATGCATGTTAGTCTGCCTTCAGGCCCAGGCCTCCCTTGTAAAACAGACCTGTGATCTCAGTGGGATTTGCCTGGTTACATAAAGGTTAATAAAAAATAAAAAATTGTCTTTTTAAAAAGGTCCTCGCATTTTAAGGGCTTTGTGTAAAACAGCTGATTTACCGTATGAAGAATGAACAAACTATTTAAAGGTGACAGATTTATTTATATAATAAATTAAAATAAGATGGTTTTGTCATCGTTTCAGCTCATTTCAGCATTTCTTTGTCCACAACTCATGAAAAATGACATGAATGTATTTGTGATGTCTCTGCTGGACTGAAGCTGACGGCACAAAACAACAAACGTCTCGTTGATACTGTTCATTCAGGGAGGCAGCCGGCCTGTTGGACGACTAATCGGATCATGACAGGCAATGTTCAGTCCAACTTCTTCCGTTCCTTCACAATAACAAAGGCCTAACTGAATGATCCAGCCTCGTATGGAGGTAAATGATTCGCTCAGTGACTCTCAACTGGAGCTTCAAACCTCATTACGCCCAAAACAGACGGCTGCAAACATGAGAGACAACTTTGGGACATTTAAACACCAAGAAACAAACACTTCATTTGTTGTACCTGGGTCAGAGAGGCAGCGAGCGCCGCTGCTGCAGCCGGCCGTGTCCGCCGGTGACCGCTCACCCGCTAACGTGCACTGCACAGAGTGCACGTGACGCAATATTAACAAGGTTACTGAGCAAGGTCATCTAGAATGTTGTCAGCTCTGAGGAGGAGCTCTGGGTCCAGCGGCAGGAGGAGCAGGTGATGATCCAGCCATCCATCCATCATCCATCCATCAACCATCCATCCATCTATCCATACATCCATCTATCATCCATCCATCAACCATCCATCCATCTATCCATACATCTATCCATCTATCATCCATCATC